AAACCGATCTTTGAAGTAGCTAGCGTCTCCCCGATTGGTGCCAAACTAACTACGATGTAGAGCACCGTCAACTCTCATTACAGCGTCCACCGTCGCGTTTTCTCACAATAATTCTCCTTCTTAACCCCAAACTACACATAAAACTACAAACTCCCAAAAACGCATCAAACTTGTTGCGCTTCACCAAATCATCCTCATCTTTCACCTCTCTTATACGAGTTTCCTTTCCCGAGAAATTGTCATCTCTATGCTTGAAGACCTCCCCATATATATATACTAAGTTATCGGCGGTTTCACGGAATATGAAACGATAAGCCATAATAAATGGTCGTAGATTTCATGACAATTGAGTTTTCCGTCATTAAATTGCATTCAATTTATTTATTATTATTATTATTATTATTATTATTATTATTATTATTATTATTATTATTATTATTTTTTGGGTTATTACAGTATCTACGCACAATTTACTTGTAATCTTGAGTTTTAAGTAATATGCTTTAATAAACAGTATTTTACGCATAAAAAGTGGTTCTCTAAAATAGAGAAAACTACAAATTTAGAGAATTTTTCAGAACTTGATTTGTGGAGGAGAAATTAATTTTTTATTCATTTCCACCAATAATATTGACTAGTATTATTTTTTATACATATTCATTTTAAAAAATGTATTGAGATGATAAATATATAAAATATATACCAGAAGGGTACTCGTGCAATGCATTGAGACACATCTCAATTTCAGTGTTTCGTTTTGTTCTTTTTTTATGTCGATATAATATGGTTTTATGTGGTTTTGAAACTGTGATAAATTTTTTAATAAAATATAATGAAAATATCATAAAATTTTAAAAAAAATATATTGATATCTGTTTCAAATAAACCTTTTTAAATTTTTTTGATTTTGGTGTAATTTTTTTAATTCAATTTTTTATTATAATTTAATTTAGGTTTAGTAACGAAGTAATTTAATTTAGGTTTAATAACATAATCTTTTATAAAGATAATAACTAAGTATTCTGTTAGAACTCAATTATTATCTTATTATATTTTAGATTTTTAATATTTAAAATGAGATATTTATTCAGTATTTGATTATGTTTATCTGCAATTAGTCACACGAACTCAAATATAGAGCTTTAATAAGTTGTAATTATGCACAATTTATTTGTAATTTAAATTTTAAGTAATATGAATCAATAAACAGTACTTCGTGTATAAAAAATGGATTTAAGAGTTTTTTTTATCAAATGTTTTATAATATAGTATATATAATAAATGTTGATATCTTTAAAATAGAAAATCTGTTGTAGTTAAATATAATTTTTTTTAGTGATTTTGAATTTTAATTCTCAATTTCAAAAAACACTACAACAAAACCGAGTTTATAGGATGCCACCGATTTCAAAGTTTTATTAGACTGTTGTATAGAACCAAAAAATAAATGGTTTTATCTAAAAACGCAGTAATAAATTTGTACGACACTTTTGGACGTTTTAACAAATTTTAGTGGACACTTTTAATACAAAGTGTCCCATTAGCTATTTTATAGGACAATTTTTCAAAAGTGTCATTTAACCTTATCTTTTTATATGACACTTGTTTTTATAAGACATTTTTTTTAAAATAATGTACTATAAAATTACTAGTGAGACGTTTTGTATTAAAAGTATCTATAAAACTTGTTAGGATGTCCAAGACCGCTGTATAAACTAATTACAACGTCTTTAGATAGGAACCTTATTTTTTGTTCTTATAAATTGATTTATGTAAAACAGTCTAATAAGACAATTTAAAATTGATGGAGTCCACTTAAATTTATTGTAGTAAAAATTATACAAAATTTATTGAAAATGCTTAGATCACCTCTTCCTCAACTTTATATTTCCTTCCTATTCACTAATCGAACATTACTTTTATTAAAAGAAATTACAAAATGAATTCGATAAATTAATAACATGATCGAAGAGAATCAACAATTCCAACATTTTATATATCATGGAGAAAGAATCAACACTTCAAACGTAAAAATCTATATGTAGAAAGAATGATGAACCAGTCAAACTTTTTTCTTGATATAATCAATTGTTTGTGTAGAAGAAAGAATCAACAATTCAAACAAGGTGACAAGGTGAAACCTACATCATCATCAATTTGTTGCTGTACAAACCCTACGAATTTCACCTTCACTTCCTGTTTTTACATCAGTATTACCCATCTTCACCATSGATCTTCCAAACTCAACGTCGAATCTCATTCCACGTAGCCCCCTAACTCCTAGGAACCCTTGTACAAACCTTTGCGTCGTTGGGTCGCTCCATAGCTTTGCCTCGGATTCAAGAACTCCTCGTCCATTCCTCAAGTTTGCATAGTATGAGTTGTCGAAGCTGTTAACACTGCCTGTGTCTAASCCCACACGCCTCGTCCCATCCCCACCATCGGGACAAAGGGCTCGAAGCTGCGGGAGGAATGATTGGTTGATATCTGGGTCGGGTCCATTAGTGTTGTTGAAGTTGTATAGCCTGTAACTGAATACTGCACAAGCTGCTGTTCCAATTGTGTGTCCTCCTGGTAAACACAAAGTTACATCAATTTAATTTGTTATCAAAGGTGTTGTACCTTGTGCAGTTAATCATATTGAGATAAGGTTCTGTGATTTCTGTTTTTCCGATCTTTATGTTCTACTTACCAACAAGAGTAACAAGATCTTGGGTGTTAAGACCTTTATCGGCAAACTTTCTGATTTGAACACTAATAGGATCGTTAAAGGCTGGCAAATTTGAAGTATCAGATGCCTGTGAAACCAATCCATCTCTACGCCCTGTTGGCACTCCCCAACTASTTCCACCACTCTGCATGATGTCCATGAATCGATGTAAATGTAAGTACTGAACTCAAACATGTAAAAATAAACTTGTATATAAACCTATCTTCTCATAATAAAACTATCTTCTCATGTTCAATTACCAGGACTACAGTATCACGGGCAGCAAGGGCAAGAATATCGGCGCAAGAGACCACTCCAGGGCAGGTGGCTTCGAGTTGGGTCTTTGCAGCATCGATAACTTCAAAGCCTCTTATCGGGACATTGGGCACCGCTGTCTTTTCAGCTGATGGCCCATCAATTAAGATCGATGCATCACACCCATTCACAAAACAATCATGGAAGAACATTCTTAGTAAACCAGGTCCAGCTCTAGGGTTAGATCGAACACCAGACTGAACTGCAGACCGGACTATGGATTCGGCCCTTGGACAGGTGGTACTGTAGAAGCCAACGCGAGTGCCTTGGCCTAGAGCCAAGGTGGTTAGGGTCCCTAGCAATAGAAATAGCAAGATGGATATTTTGTTGAGGGAAAGGACCTCCATTACTGTAGTTAAAAAAGTGTATATCTAATGATTATATGTGACAAAGGTAGAAGTTGGTTATAGGGTTTGAGAAAGGAGATGATGAGAATAGTTGGGAAGGAGGGTACGTATTTATAGTAGCCTTCCATATAAATGTTGGAAAAAGTCAACAAAGAAAGAATATTCGTTGAAAAAGTCAACTTAAAAAGAAATGCAACGAAGAGAAAGTTTCAAATTACAAATATTTATTGAATTTTAATTTCGTGGGGCGGGTTTGAAAAAACATTGAATTACAAAATGTGTATACTTAACGAAAAGTGTGCTTTAGTGACACGTCTTTAACGATGACATGCTTCAGCCATAAATTATTGACGATACGTCGTTATAAACTTTTTGTGACGATAAATGGACTTTTGTCATCGCTAAAACCCCTAATTCTTGGGAATATCATAGAAAAGCCAAAAATCTGGATATGTTACCGGTTCACAATGATGGTTAAATATGTGGAATATTTTGAAGCTACAAACCAGTTAACATAGTGGCATAACTTTGTCACTTTGTTTAGAACTATGTGTTTCATCTCCAAATCATTAACTATTTATCCTTCGTGGAATCTGTGTAAGGAAGTTTGTACATATAGTGCATATACGTCTTATGAATTCTAGTATGAAAATAATAACCGATAAAAATAAGACTTAAGTTTGTAGCATATATATATATATATATATATATATATATATATATATATATATAGGGGAGCGATCAAATGCAAACCACTCAATT